TTGGTTAGACCAGGTGTAGTTTTTGGGACATGTAATATCGGCAGAAGGGATAGCTGTAGATCCTACCAAGGTAGATGCAGTGTTAAAATGAGAACCCCCTAAGACAGTGACGGAAGTACGTAACTTTGTGGGACTTGTAGGATACTACCAGAAATTTATAGAGGGTTTCTCTAAAATAGCATCTCCTTTGACACAGTTGACCCGTAAGGATCAACCTTTTGCTTGGACAGATAGATGTGAGGAGAGTTTCCAAGAGCTGAAAAGAAGATTGTCTAGTTCCCCAGTGTTGGTGATCTCAGAAGTGACTCAATCTTTTCAGGTATATTGTGATGCTTCTATTCAGGGGTTAGGTTGTGTCTTGATGCAAGATAAAAGGGCGGTAGCATATGCGTTGAGACAACTTAGAATTCATGAGAGGAATTATCCCATTCATGACTTAGAACTAGCAGTAGTGATGTTTGCTCTCATGATGTGGAGACATTACCTTTATGGAGTCAGATTTGAAGTTTTTAGTGATCACAAGAGCATGAAGTATTTATTCGATCAGAAGGAGCTAAATATGAGACAGAGAAGATGGATGGAGTTTCTGAAGGATTATGACTTTCAGTTACTTTATCATCCAGGAAAGACGAATGTGGTGGCTGACGCTTTGAGTAGGAAGGCAGTTCAGATGTCAGCAATGATGATGAATGAATTAAGATTACTCGAGCAGTTCAGGGATCTGCATCTAGATGTAGAGTTTTGTGATACTAGCTTTAGTTGTGGTAGCATTACCATTACTAATGATTTTCTCGAGATGATCAGAGATAGACAACAAGGTGATATGACGTTGAAAGGTGTTATGGATCAGTTAGGATTCGAACATACCATTGACTACAAGATGGGTGAGAATAATATTCTGATATTCAAAGGAAGGATTTGTATTCCTGTTGACTAGGAATTGAAGAGAGCAATACTAGATGAAGGTCATCAGAGTCGTCTGAGTCTACACCCTGGTATGACTAAGATGTATTAGGATCTGAAGAAGGTTTATTGGTGGTCTGGAATGAGGAGAGATATTGCAGAGTATGTGACTGCTTGTTTGACTTGTCAGAAAGCAAAGGTGGAACACCAAAGGCCAGGAGGAATGCTACAGCAAATGGAGATACCTGAGTGGAAGTGGGATAGCATTACCATGGATTTTGTTACCCATTTACCACTGACAATTCGGGGGCACGATTCGATATGGGTGATAGTGGATAGATTGACGAAGAGTGCACATTTTCTCCCTGTAAATTTGAGGTTATCTATGGCTAAGCTGGCACAACTATATATTCGCGAGATTGTTCGATTACATGTGGTACCATCTAGCATTATCTCAGATAGGGATCCTAGATTTACTTCAAGATTCTGGCAAACTTTACAAGAGGCATTAGGTACCCGACTTAGGTTGAGTTCAGCCTATCACCCCCAGACATATGGACAATCAGAGAGAACCATCCAGTCACTAGAAGACTTGTTGAGGTCTTGTGTGTTGGATAATCTAGGAAGTTGGGATGATATCCTTCCATTAATAGAGTTCACGTATAATAACAACTATCATGCCAGTATCGGAATGACACCATATGAGGCTCTTTATGGGAGGAGGTGTCAAACACCTTTATGTTGGTATCAAGATGAGGAGAAAATGTTGATTAGACCTGAGTTACTCCAGCAGACTACAGAGAAGGTCCAGGAGATACAGGAGAAACTGAGAGCTACTATGAGTAAACAAAAATCATATGCGGACCAGAGGAGGAGACCTTTGGAATTTGAGGGGGGAGACCATGTATTTTTAAGAATCAAACCTACTACTGGAGTAGGAAGGGCAATTAAGTCTAAGAAATTGACTCCCAATTATATTGGCCCATATCAAATTTTGAATAGGGTAGGTTCAGTGGCATATCAATTAGCGTTGACACCTCATTTGGCGAATCTGCACAATGTATTTCATGTATCTCAGTTGAGGAAATATGTACATGACCCCAGTCATGTCCTGGAGTCAGACGATGTGCAGATTAGAGACGATCTCTCCGTGGATGTGAGACCAGTGAGGATAGAGGATTCTCAACTGAGCGACTTAGAGGTAGAATCATCTCAATGGTGAAGGTAGTATGAGATCAGAAATTCGGAGACTTTACTTGGGAGATGGAGGATTAGATGCGAGAGTCTTATCCATATCTATTTCCAAGTAAGTTCATTTTCGAGGATGAAAATTTTTGTGGAGGGGAGATTGTGACGTATGATTTTTATATATTATAATAATATTACTGTGCAAGAAAACTTCGTAACGAAATTTTCCTCATGCACAATAAATTTTTTCTTATATATGCATATTGAAACGGGGGAAGAGCATAATCTAAATTTCCCTCTCATCCTTCTTCTTCTTTTGTCTAAATTTCAAGCAACGATACTCTACTCGTGCAGGATCTGGTGAAACAGGAGAGAATTTGAATTAAGTGGGAAAACTTCGGTAGAAATACTATACAAGGTAAGGGGAAGTTTAATTCATTCAATATATGAAATTGAATTGCTGGGTACTCTGTGAATAAGGAATAGAGTAGAGATATGAATTATTTGAATGTCTGATTTTGAAGAATTTTTTATTCTGATGAATTGTTCACCGTTTGAAAGTTTTTTTGAAATTCTTAAAATTAAGGATGAATTATATGGTAAAATTGTTGTTTTCAACTTAAATTATATATAATTCATGTTTAATTTGAATTTGAGACTAGTTTGGTTGTCTAAAACTGAGTAATTTGAAATCTGCCAAAATCTGCAAAATTTAATACTGTTACTGGCGCGAGGAAGAAGAAAGGGACATGGAAGGAATTTTTGAAAATGTTCAAGGGTAAAATGGTCATTTTCGGGACATGGAAGGAATTTTTGAAAATGTTCAAGGGTAAAATAGTCATTTTACATCCTAGGGACATAAATGGAATTTTTGAAAATGTCTAAGGGCAAAATAGTCATTTTCGGGACATGGAAGGAATTTTTGAAAATGTCTAAGGGTAAAATAGTCATTTAGGGACATACATGGAATTTTCAGAAAAGATTAAGGGCAAAATAGCAATTTAATGATTTCGAAAAAGATTTCGGAAATGATTTTGGAAATGATTTCGGAAATGATTTTGGAAATGATTTCGGAAGTGATTTCGGAAGTGATTTTAGACAAAAGAAGAAGAAGAAGAAGTATATATATATATATATATATATATATATATATATATATATTTAAAATATAGAATGAATGTAGCAATTTTAAAGATTCACGTAGTGTGTTGTAACGTGTGTGAGTCGAGCTGAGTCTAAGGACTGATGCCCATAATCAATCATGAGATGTTATGTATTGGCTAGACTGAGCCGGAGGGTTGGTGCCCAGAATCAGTCAAGTACTATTATTTACTGACTTGAATGAGCCGTGAGGACAAGTGGTCCATAATCCGGTAAATGTGAATGATTTTTGTTGTGTTTGAATGGTACCCGGAGTGGTACAGAGTACTTTAGTGTAATAACTATGTCGGAAGATTCTGAATGAGGTCCCAGACTTCACTGATCGGTTGGGTCAGGTAGACTACGAGATCAGGTGGTGAGAAGTTGATAGGGGGATGACTGGTGGCGCGCTCGGAGGGGTACTGCAGTATGAGTGATGAAGGGCGCCAGTAATCCTACTTTGTGTGGAGGGTGGTCAGAATGGTACTGCGGGTGCCGATCACAATGTGCCCACAAATGATAGCCTCTGAGTTCGGGCATAGTTAGGGTATACTTTCGGAAAGTGTCTTAGTGTGTTGATGATTTCGTAATTAATCATAATATATAATTATTACTTCTATATCTGTTTTATTACATCGAATGATTTAATACTTACCCCTATTTTCCCATGTGGATGAGACTGCGATGATCACTTTTATGTGGGAGCAGATCAAGAATTGAGAGATGGAGATGTGACTATTGGACAACATGGATAGTTCGAGTGGGATAGCTTCGAGAGAGTTACTTTTACATATATAATATATAAATAAATTATGTTACTATATTTTGAGGTTCCGTTAGTGAACCGGAATTTCAATCTATGTTATAATTACAGTAAAATAATGTAAGATAGATGTCGTTAATTACTTGGTTATTATATTGCGAAGACATTAGTAGCGATTTATAGGGTCGTTACAAAATTCTTTCAAACTTGTTTAATTTTTATGAATCAAATTTGTAACACTATTTTAAATTATTTTCCTTTTATGGTTTATTTCTAAAAATTCTTTGAAAATACTATTTTATTACTCTTGAATTATAGTATATGTTTATTTAACCTAAATGTTATTTTTAAGAAAATAAAAATCCTTACTTTTCTTTTGTCAAAATCTTATATACTCAAGTATATTTTTTTCTTTTGATAAACGTTCATCTTTGGTACATGATAGTCGTATTAAAAAGGGTGTGAGCGTAAATATTTAAAGTTTGATCAAAATTTAAATTGAGATATTAAGGTGAGTGATACTCATAATTAGTAAAAACAAAATTATTAATATTATGTGTAATTTTTCATCAATAATAAAAGTTAGAAGCAAGTAACAATTTTTTTGCCACCCACGTTTATATTTCTGCTACAATACTTGACTAAAATATACTATTATTATTATGAAATATCTAATGACACAGACGAATATATATTAAGAAATTAATACTAAAATGGACTAAAAAGAAAGAGTATGGAAAGTGTTATAGCGGAAAGGCCAATTTCTTCGTATGGAAAGAGAGAAAGTATGGAAAGAATGTAGATGCTTGAATCTAGCCACCCATTTCTCTCGGCCATTTCTTCGTTCCAAAACCACGTCCTTTCACTTTTCCATCAAGCTCCACCATTACCAATGAGCAAACCTTTTCACTCCCTCAAACCCTTTCCCTCCTCTCTCTCTTCCTCATCCATGGCATGCTTTTCTCCATCATAGCGTGCTTCGTTCACCCTCCTCCACATTACGCCAATGAGGAACCATGTTTCTTCCCTCTCTTTCCTTTTCCTGTTGATCCCTTTCCTGCCTCCGGTTCAATGCGCCGATACCACTTTCGCGCCATCCTTTTACACCGAAGAGATATACAAGGAGCTTGAAAACCTCGCTACTCTGTTAAACAAGGACATTAAAGCAGGTTTAGGTTTCTGCATCAAGGATGTGTGAGTCAGTTCTTGTCTATCATTGCTTCCTCCTATACTCCTTCACGTAACTCACGCTCCTCCTAGTTATTGACCATGTAGTTTCCAAGCATGCATGCACTCTATACACGCATATGAAATTCATTAGATTATAACATATCCGATGCCAAAAGCTCCTTGCGCGTAACCTTGTATGAACATAAATTGTATCATGTTTCAAACCCATAATCAAGTGGGTTTGTAACATGGATGGAGGGTTAAATTCCCCGGCGCTGCAAAAATCTCATTTGGTAGGCAACTCTGTGGTGGGAGATTCCTTGGCGCCTAAGGACTAGTTGAATAGTTATGATCATGCTTATGCTTATGGTGTAAGCTTATGCAGTGGTCTTTTAGGAGAGTCTCTGTTGTTAAACTCAACATGTTATTTGTGTCTTTCTCGGTAGTATTGGAGGTGTCTTTCAATTTTACCACAGTTTTTTTTACCAAAATAAAGGTATTTATGAAGTAGGTTCAAATTATAGCATTAGACAACTCTGCCATGTTAATGTTTGAAAAGCTAGCACTGGTTATTGTATATCTTAAGCCTGTTATTATATAGGAATATAAAAACCGCTAGTAAAAAGGATGTAAGATGAATATTAGGAGTATCTAAGATGAGATAACACATCTATTGTGTTAAGCGTTTGTGATTCCTTGTTGACAGTACTTTTGACATTTCAGGCGTAAAGATTGGGAGGAAGCATTTGATTTTAAAGGAAGGTTGGATTTCGTGGATTCTTGTGTTAAGAAGAAAGGTATCAGCTCTCGTGTTCCCATTGTAGTTTATATTGACATTGGCTCTCTCTAAAGCTCAAACTGTTAGGAAGAAAATACTTAATAATGATTTTATATCTGGTATGTATATTCATGCAGAAGTGCATGGGATTTGAAGCATAACAAATGCTTAACTCTACCTTACTTTTTTTGCTAAAATTCAAGTTTTATAATGGAGGCAACAAGTACCAAGCTTGTGACCACTAAGCTCTAAAACTCTGCCAATAACCAAGTCTCTCAAAAGCCTAGAGGGTGAAGATTGTCATAAATGTGTGTTGCATGAGATTGTGCCACACTGACTTCAGAAATTCTCTTAAAAAAGTTATTATCATTCACTATCCAATGCCAAAGACAAACTTTTGTGTAATTGAGCCATTTGAATTTATAGGATAAGGAAGTCTATGACATATAATGAAATTTGCTATGTCATGTCATTTATTTTATGGAAGTGCCTAATGAGATTTGATTGACAGGAGATTTCAGAGATAGAATATGTACTGCGGCTGAAATAAGGTACTACTTCCATGGTTTCTTGGAACAAGGGGGAACAGCTGCCAATTACGTAAAACCTAACAAGAATTGCAATTTGACCTCGTGGGTCTCTGGTTGTGAACCTGGATGGAGTTGTAGTGCTGGCAAAAATGTTGACCTGAAAAAGGACGTTAAGGACATTCCCTTTAGAACCAGTACATGTCAGCCTTGTTGTGAGGGGTTTTTCTGCCCTCAAGGATTGACTTGCATGATACGTAAGTATGTCATGCCTCTTAAAATTTTACCATTAATTAGCAATGTAGGATCTGTTCTGTACTATTCTTTGTGTTTGTTAGCTTGAATGAATAATATATACTAAAGATAGTAGGAAAATGACAGAGACACTTCATTATATGACAGATACAAGATAAGAAATATGTATAACCCTGACAATTTTGTTATATCAAGCAGGATATATATACACATATATTTAGTTAATACAATCGATTATTTATCACATTGATGCTTAGAAATGAGGTGTTGTGTGACAATGATCTCCAACATTATAACAAACAATAATATATCTTTGAAATTGCGTCTACACAAATCAAATAAAAAATGAATAACAAATAACATTTGTTGCAATTCTAATGACTTTGAAGTTTCTTATAATAAACAAACTACAATGTTAAAATCATTCTAGAATGAGTTATTTGGCAAATTTTATCACAAGGGTCGTGATTGAGTCTTCTTGTTGTTGTATGTCTTCATGATTACAATATGAAATCTGAATTATATTTAGCATCGATGTTGATTATACTATTGGGAAAATTTTTACAATATAACACCCCTAAATGATTTTAATGTGTAGATATACCTCTTCTTTTTTCCAGATAAATGAAGAATATCAGTGTATAATGCATACACAAACATTCATATTCTTTTCTTCAAGTTTGATTTTAGGGCCAACTTTAGTATCATGAAAAACCAACTTTGATTTTGTTTAAGATTTGGATTATATTTTATTGATAAAATCAGTTAGTCAACTATCGTTTTTCAACTTTTCTGATTTTCCTCTTTATGAAGCTTGCCCACTAGGTTCTTACTGTCCAATTGCAAAACTGAACAATGAGACTGGAGTATGTGACCCGTAAGTTCTACTCTTGAAGTTAATTCTTCTTGTTCTCTAAGCTTCTTCACTAAAAATGGTGGTTTCTAAGTTTCACCACTAAAAATGAATTTGCAGATATACTTATCAAATACCTCAGGGAGAAACAAATCATACTTGTGGCAGTGCTGACATTTGGTCTGGCGTGGTGAACAATAGTGATATCTTTTGTTCTGCAGGATCATACTGCCCAACTACAACACGTAAAGTTTCTTGTGATAGTGGGTATTGATTTATCCCATACCTTATCTTGCTCATGTTTAATTTATCTAAATTTCCCTTTTTCTGATATAATTATCTCTAAATAAAGCTACTAGTTTCCATGTCCATTACAACCAACCTAGATTTTTCATAATTTCAGATATTATTGCAGAAGGGGTTCTACTCACCAAAATAGTGAGTTTTTATTTATTTATTTATTTATTTTTGTGTATATTACATGTATAATTTGTTTGCTTAATTTATTCCATCACTAAGGCATTAAAATAGGAGACCATTATGGAATTGCATGTTGGATGGTAAAAGCCAACAAAAGAATAAATCAATGAGGCATAAAGGAAATGTTTTTCTGAAAGGCAAAGTTATTGATCACTGATTTTGCACTGCACCCTACAAAATTTTGCAGTGCAAAGACTCTAAGTTCTCAATTAATCACTGATTTTGAGGCTTTATTGAAGGAAAAACAAATATAGGGAAGATTATACTCACTACAAAGTTTATGAGGACAACTATTCCTCCGACAGTGTTAAATTTCAAAGATATATAAGAAAAAAAAATCTAGGAATAAAGACTTTATGTTAGAATTGCATCTAATAACTCTAGAGTTACAAAAAATAAATAAATCTGAAATTGTATACGATAATGTAAATTGGGAACCTTTATTCTTGACAATTGGGATCATATGGATCAAGACTGTAAATAAAAAATGTCACTAGTTTTAGTGTGTATAAAAAATCAATATAAATACTTTCAGAATGGTTAAGATCTACACGATCTATACTATAAGTTATCTACTAAGATGAGTTTCAAAGAAGTGTGGAATTATATTCCATTAAACTTGGATCTCTAAGACATTAGTTTGATTTAATAATTAAAAAGAAATTTAAGATTATTAAAAACTTCTATTCTAGAATAAAAGAAATAACTACTCACATCAGAGTAAGTGAGGAAAATATTATTGATAAAAAAAATTTTCAAAAATTCCTTATAGATATAAAATAATTATAACTACAATTAAGCAAACAAAGAATTTGCTTATTTTATTGGTGACAGGATTAATAGGTTCTTTTAAGCATATAAGATTTTGTCCAAAATGTCTTAGAAATCAAAACCCAAATTACACTTTCAAAATAAAGAAAATGCCGAGGAAAAGAGAAATGGAGATTTTTTTTATAAATAAGAAATTCTAGAGGTTTCTCTAAGTTCAATAATAATAAAAAACACTCCTGAGCAATATGTGCAAAAAGTTAAGTCACTTATAAAAATATTGTTGGAATTGTGAAAAATTACAATGCAAGAAATTTGAACAACAAAAATAAGCATAAGGAAAATTGTGTTGAAGAGGATGACCATGAGAAACATTTGATATTCCAATAATGTACTGAGATAATGAATGCAATAATCACATGGTTAGAGAAAAAACATCCTCAGGATATTGGCGACTATGTCAAAATGAAAATTTAGTTGGATAATAACACCTTAGTGGAGTGAAAAGGAATAGATATTGTCATGCTAGAAATAATGAAAGGTATAAAATATGTGTGTTATATTTATAATCTTAAGAATTGACCAAATGATGGAGAAACATTACACTATTCACTTTAAAGGAGATGCATATATAATCTATAACAACAAACAACAAAAGCAGGTAATAAGAGAAGTTAAACTGGAAAAAGATATAAATATTTTCCAATAAGCTTTAAATATATCAAGAATATTGCTATAAAAATTAAAGTTGATGATTCATGACTTGACGTAGAAGATTTGATCATTTCAACAATTTAGACTTTGAAGTTGTTATATAAAAAAAAATGATGAGATATTTTTCATATCTGAAAAAAGAATAGAGTTTGTGAAGAATATCTTATAGAAAAATAACACATATTATCATTTTCAAATGACAAAATATATAAAACAAACATTTATTAGAGTTAATTCATATAAATATTTCTGGACTGATAGGAACATTGTTACTAGACAATAACATGTAATTTATATTTTTCATTGATGACTTTTCTAGAATAACCTATGTTTATTTTATTAAAGAAAAATTAGAAATCTTTAGAATATAAAAGAAATTAAAAAATCTTATTGGGAAATAAGTGGGAGGCAAATAGAAATTCTAAGAAGTGATTAAGACAAACTATATAACTCACACGTCTAATAAGTTCCGTGAAGATAAGTTCCGTGAAGATGAAGAAATAGAGAAACAAGATCCTTCACTAGAGGTCTACTCCATTAAGTGTTATATTTGACAGACATGTATGAGACTTGTAACTTGGCCATACATGAACCTAAAAGCTTTGAAGCAACGAACAAAACAATAAGTATGGATCAAGGCTACGAAAGAAGAGATAAAAATATTTTAAGAAAAATAAGACATAGGAGTTAGTAGAATGTATAAAAGACAAAGATATTATATGGGTAAAATGGGTTTATAATACAAAACTCAATCCCTACGATATCATACAACAACACAAAGCTAGATGGGTAGTTAAAGGATATTTGCAACAACTTGTAGTCGAGTACATATTGTCCTAGTTGCTTGCCTAGATTCAATAAAATTTCAATAGCTTTTGTAGCAAAAAATTGATGGCGAATTCACCCATGTTGAATAAACCTTTTTAGATGGAGTACTTGAGGAAGAAATATATGTGAAAAAACATAAGGCTTTGTAAGAAAAGGCAATGAAGCTAAAGTGTTCAGGCTAAGAAAAACTCTATATGACTTAAAACAAACTCTTAGAACATGGTATAATAAAATTGATTAAGGAGAAACAAGAATGAGTCAACATTATACATCAAGACTTAAAGTCAATGTGATACTCTCATTATATCTTTATATGTAGATGATCTTATTTACAAAGAAAACAATGGAAAGATGATAAAGGAATTTATAGAAGAGATGATGGAACTTTGCTTGATGAGTTATTTTATTAGCATATAGGTAAGATAGTAAAAAGAAGGAATATTTATCTCTTAAAAGAAATATATTAAAGCTTTACTAAAATGGTTCAAAACATATGGTTGCTAATATGTCATTACTCCACATGTTAAATGAGACGCTACAAAATGACGATGGAGCACTAAAAGATAATGCATCATAGTATAGGAATTTGATTGGAACCCTAATATATCTTACAACCACATGGATATATACCATGTATGCTACAAGTATTTTATCATGATTTGTGTAAAGGCCAAGTCATATTTATTTTAGACTTATAAAAAGAATTTTAAGATATCTACACGTTACAAAGGAGTATGGTATTTGCGGACATCTAAAAGTTGAATAGCACAATCAACAATAGAGATAGAGTACCTAGTAACAATTGAAACTACAATTTAAACAATTTGGTTTCAATGAATACTCAAAAAAATGAGAAAATAATAAGAGACAATAAATCTGAAATAATAATGACAAGAAGTATATCACAACAAACAAAGCACATAAATATCACTTTATCATAGAAGTGGAGGTAACTAAACACATAAATATCACTTTATCATAGAACTAGAGGTAACTAAAGAAATAAAACCAGAGTATTGCAAGACTAAATATCAAGTTGCACATATATTTACTAAGACACTCCAAGAGTCAAGAGTCAAGTTGAGTCATTACAATTTATGCTTGGAATTTGTTGAAATATGTATTAAAAATGAGTTTTAAATTTGATACAAATATGTAGAAGTTATAAGAAAGAATACCTGGAAAGACTTTGTGCTGGAAATGCATATAAGAAATAACTAAATTAAGAAATTGTAACCGTAAGTCTTGATATATTCTTTAAGTTAAGAAAATTTAAAATTATCTAAAAATACTATAAATTGGAATGGTGATAATGAAGGTGGTAGATTAAATCTATAAACAAGCAAATGTCATTTATTGTATTGTGTATGGAAAATCAGTACAAACTCATGCATAATTGTTAAAAGCTACATGTCTATACACTAAGTCATCTATTAGTTGTCTTCTTCAGTTTCTCCATATAAATGTTTTCCCGTATAGTAGCCAACCTCACTAGCACTCCATACAAACTAAACTTGAAGATATCATATTTTATCTACTTTCCATAATGGGGTGAAAACCTTATAACAAAGTTGATATGATAATGTGGGCTAGATCATGGAAATTATCAACCAGTAATTGAATCTAACTTTGTCTTATTTTGACGATCTATTTTGTTCGAGAATTGAAGCACTAAATCAAAACCTCAGTCAATGTTGTTCATTTCTGCAGAATGCTCCAGTTTGAGTTCCTGTAATCCAAACACATCGAACCAAAATATGCATGCTTATGGAGCTTTGCTTATTGTAAGTAGAATCTAATATGGTATTGGACAAGGTCATGCTTTGCTCTATCTCTATTTCATTTTTCTTTATTGGTTAAGCGGTATGGAAAATTTTCATTCAACTTTCTTGTCATGTTCCTATCAGGGTTTTTGTTATGGTTTGGGTTTTGAGTAATTACATATACTTGAAGGTGTATAGCATTTGTGTTTTTTACATACACATTATTGGAGCTTATGGTTGTCTTTTCCCACAGTGAAGAAATACAACATGGGATCTAGAGAAAAATGTCCCAAAGTATATTGGCTTTATTTCTTTTGCATATGCTCTGAAATAACATGAAATACTGTAAAATATTTTTCAAGAATCTCTTGTCCCATTGTCCAGGTTATCATATTTGGTATCATTCCCCCTTGTAGGTTGCATTGAGTACTCTCCTGATCTTCATTTATAATTGTTCTGATCAAGTTCTAGTTACTCGAGAGAGGAGAAAGGCTAAATCTAGAGAAGCAGCTGCTAGACAAGTAAGGGAAACTGTACAGGCTAGGGAACGATGGAAAATAGCAAAAGATATTGCTAAGAAAGGTAAGGGGGGATTGCATGACCAATTATCTCGCACCTTTTCTCGCAAAAAATCAGCTAAATCAGATCCATTAAAGGTTGGTACCCAAGCTAAACGTGGTGCGGGTGATACGTTTTTGGCACCAATGCCTGCTTCAAGCAATGAACAACAATCTGCAGCTTCAAACATACCAAACAAGGAGCCTACTAACCTTACTAAAATGTTGAATTCTCTTGAGAATGATCCACATAGCAATGAAGGATTCAACCTACAAATTGGAGATAAAAATATTAAAAAGCAGATGCCAAAGGGCAAGAATTTACACACACAAAGCCAAATTTTAAGGTATGCTTATGGTCAAATTGAGAAGGAGAAAGCTCAACAAGAGAAAAACAAGAACTTAACTTTCTCGGGAGTAATTTCAATGGCTACTGAAGGTGAGGTTCGAACAAGGCCTGTGATTGAGGTAGCTTTTAAGGATTTAACTCTTACTTTAAAAGGTAAAAGAAAACATGTACTAAGATGTGTGTATGGTAAACTCATGCCTGGTCGAGTTTCTGCTGTGATGGGTCCCTCAGGAGCTGGCAAAACTACATTTCTTTCTGCCTTGGCAGGGAAAGCAAGAGGATGTACTATGACAGGCTCAATACTAATCAATGGAAAGAACGAATCCATTCATTGCTATCAGAAAATTATTGGTTTTGTGCCACAAGATGATATTGTGCACGGGAACTTGACAGTGGAAGAAAATCTTCGTTTCAGTGCAAGATGCAGGTATCCCATGGAGAACTTACTTTATGCCTCTCTTTTTTTAATGTCTGAAATGTGTGAAACTTTGTTTGTTATGTTACCTCCTATTCATCCTACTTTATTAAGAATTAAGGATAATGAATTTATAAAAAAATCCCCAAAAAATACTTAGATCAAATTAATTTACAATTTAATACATGGACTCATTTTATCAAATAATAATTATTTTTAAAATAAAAATAAAAGTGATATTATTTTATTAAATATATATATATATTTTTTAAATTAATTTAATAAAAGAATTATTTATTCTAAGAGTAAATATTAAAATAAAAATATAATAATCATTCATTCAAATATCTAATAATTAAAATTAATTATTATTTTATATCAATAAATTATTAATAAATAAATAATAAAAATAAATAAAAGTAAGATTTTTATTTGTATTTTAGGATTAAATAAAATTTGTTATAATTTTTTATATTAAATAATTAATAAAAATTAATTTCATTAATATACTTTAAATTTTAAATTTTTTTATTTAAATATTATTTTTAATTTTAATCAGACCAAAACTAATTGATTAGTCTGTTGATCTAATATAGAGTTAAGTTAAATAAAAAATTATAATCAATTTTAAAATATAGGTTAACCATCAACTTATTTTACTTTATGTATAAGACCAAATGGTTTAGCCACCGGTTTTATAACAGCCCTATTAAAAATTAATTAATTTAGGTTACTTTATTTTGTATGTTAGCCATTAATTTCTAGTGTCATGTTTATTTAATATTTTACTAGCATGTTGTGTTATGGCAATTTACTTCGTATTATTGAAGGTTATTTTTAAATAATTAATGCTGTTCACAACTTATGATAAGGTGCAGAAATATAACTTTGTATCTATATTAATATTGCAACACTTTACATATTATCAATATATAATATGCTATACTCTTTCCTCTTTACTTCCATAGGTAACATACATCTTTTCCCTTTATAGTTTAGCTCATAATCAGGTTGTATCTTCAAATTTGGTTTCAAGTGTTTGACAAAGTAACATTTTCGAAAATCCAAATTACAAGAACTTCGTTGATGATAACTTCAAAGGCATGTTGATAGAGGGCTATAGTTAAAAGGGTGTATGGATTTGATCTTTTATTTAAACATGAAGGGGTCACTTAAGTAGTTCATGTCTCTCATGTTGACATCAATTTTGTTTTCTTTTTCTTGTTATACTAGGACCTGTCGTTCTAAAAACATGGAATACATGATAAAAATTGCCAATACCAAATGAGGTAGTAGAATTTAGAATTCTAATTGTTCATTTCAATTCTTCTTACTTTTTTAATGCAGGTGCTAACTTTTAAAATGAATAATGAAGATCTTTGAAAGATAGAATATTTGCAAATTGAAAAGAATGGATAAAAAAAAAATGGTTCAATTACACCAACTACATGATTATCTTCCTAATTTTACAGTGAAGTCGTGCACTAAATGTCTCATTCAAAATGATTGCATTAATTTTCTCTAGAGTTTGTGTATCATTTTCTGCGTTCTTCATGTTGTTAATTTCTTTACATGGTTGTTTTGTTACTGAAGACTCTCTGCGGATATGCCAAAACCAGACAAGGTTCTGATTGTTGAAAGAGTGATTGAGTCCTTAGGACTCCAAGCAGTGAGGGACTCCCTTGTTGGAACAGTAGAGAAGCGAGGTATATCTGGAGGACAACGAAAACGTGTAAATGTAGGGATGGAAATGGTTATGGAACCATCCTTATTAATCTTAGATGAACCTACAACTGGCTTAGATAGTGCATCTTCCACTTTACTGCTTAAAGCACTTCGTCGAGAAGCACTTGAAGGGGTAAATATCTGCATGGTACTTCATCAACCAAGGTAAGATCTTACACTCCTATTTTATTTTATTTTGGTCAAATAGCTACACACCAGACAACATGTTAGAACTGGTTTTAAAGTGATGACGGTTGCGGCTGTTATAATATGAAGTTCTTTTATGCACATATTGTGGTCGCAAATACTCTAGAGAAGAAAATATGCTCTTTGAATAGTATGTCAAAATGTAGTTCATATCTTACTCTGATTTTGTTGTGATACAGCTATACTTTGTTCAGAATGTTTGATGATATAGTCTTTCTAGCCAAAGGTGGTCTGACTGCATATCATGGTCCTGTTAAAAAAGTAGAAGAGTACTTTGCTGGCATTGGAATCAATGTACCTGATAGAGTGAATCCTCCAGACCATTTCATTGACATTTTGGAAGGTTTAGTGAAACCAAATGGAAATGTGACCCATCAACAACTTCCTGTGAGATGGATGTTGCATAACAGTTACCCAGTACCACCAGATATGCTTCATTTTGCTGATCAAATTGCTGCTGCCTCCTCAACAAATACCAATGATCCACCAAAGCCCGCAGAAGAAGTTGTTGATCAATCCTTTGCTGGAGAGTTTTGGGAGGACATGAAGAGTAATGTTCAGATGCGACGAGATCATATAGAGGCAACCTTCTTAAAGACTAAGGACTTGTCTAATCGAAGAACTCCGGGTGTAGCTCGACAATACAGATACTACCTTGGACGGTATGACTTATAAAATCTTAGGGTTTAGTATAGATACAATTGCCCTTAGAGATAACTAACTAACAAGGATGGATTTCTAGATTCTTTTCATCAAGTTTATCCACTATAATAAAAAATGAATTGAAGTAAGAGTTAAGTACTACCTATGTATCTTAACATACATATAATGTAGAGTGTTATAAAAATAGATTATGTAAAACTCTATTGAACTCACCAAATAATGATTAACACAAAGAAGACAATTACTGGAGTAAAGTTATTCCTCATTGATTTATTACCAGCCTTATATAGGCATTACAAACAGTTATTTTGTTATAAGACATAACAGAATAATTATTCTCTACTAACTCCCTACCAGCCATAAAGTCTCAAAGCTAGTACTAACAATTTCTCTACCTTGGTTGGACTTTATGCTACATAACCTGTAAAATCTTCAAACAATGTTTGAACTTAGGCCCTGGCAGTGCCTTTGTAAATGCATTGGCTGGGTTTTCATTTGTGCTAATCTTTTCCAGAATCACCTCCCCTTTTGCAACAACCTCTCTCACAAAATAGAGCTTGACATCAATATGTTTAGTTCTCTCATGGTATACCTGATTCTTAGCCAAGTGTATCCCACTTTGGCTATCACAAAACACCTTAGGAACTGGTCTTTCTGCCTTCAAACATGTTGTCATTCCCTTCATCTAGATTACTTCTTTTATTGCTTTAGTAACAACAATAAATTCAGCTTCAGTGGTGGATAGAGAGACTACATTTTGCAGATTGCACTTCCAGCTAACAATGTTACCACAGAACGTGAAAATATAATCTATCAAAGACCTTCTGGAATCCAAATAGCCAACATAATTTGAATCAACAAAACCAGTAACATTAGCAGCATTGCCATCATGCCTTGAATACAGTAAACCAACTTTAGATGTTCCTTTCAAATATTTGAAGATCTATTTCATAGCCTCCCAATGTTGTTTTCCTGGCTTCCCCATGTATCTACTCATCAAACTCATGGCATAAGCCAAATCTGGCCTAGTACAAATCATAGCATACATGACACTGCCTACTGCATTTGCTACGGAACCTTCTTCATATAGGCTTTTTCTTCCTCAGTCTTGGGTGAATCCTGCCGAGAAAGTTTGAAATGTTGCGCCATAGGAGTCATCACTGCTTTAAATTGATCCATATTGAACTTCTTCAAAGCTTTAGCTATGTAGCCCTTTTGGTTAATGAATAAGGTTCCCTTGGATCTATCCCTCGTGATTTGCATACCCAGAATCTTACTAGCAGCCCCCATATTCTTCATTTTGAACTCACTCTCAAGCATCAACTTCACCTTCTCAATTTCAACCTTGCTGTTACAAGCCATGAGCATGTCATCTACATAGAGGAGAAGGTAGATGATAGCTCCAATCTCAGTGTTCTTCAAGTAGACACAACCATCATACTCACACCTTTTAAAACCATTCTTCATAATGAATGTATCAAACCTTTTGTACCATTGCCGAGGAGATTGCTTAAGACCATAGAGGGACTTATTTAACAAGCAAACCTTATCTTCTTCACCTTTCTTGATGAAACCTTTTGGTTGAGTCATGTGAATATGCTCCTCAAGCTCTCCATGTAAGAAAGTTGTTCTCACATCAAGCTGCTCCAATTCCATGTCTTCTTGTGCTACCAAGGCTAGGACAATTTTGATTAAAGAGTGTTTTACCACCGGAGAGAAGGCCTCATTGTAATCAATGCCTTCTCTTTGTGTAAACCCTTTGGTCACTAATCTTGCTTTGAATCTAGCCTTTTCCACTCCTAGAATCCCTTCCTTCAACTTGAAAATCCACTTGCAACTGACAAGTTTCTTCCCTTTTGGCTTGTTTACCAGCACCCAAGTGTCATTCTTATGTAAAGAGCTTAATTCTTCATTTATGGCAACAATCCACTCTTGAGATTGCTTGTCATTCACAACATCACTATAACTCCTAGGCTCATCTCCTTTAACTTCCTCTGCTGTGGTGAGTGCAAAAGCAACCATATATGCATGTTCAAACCTAACTGGAGGTCTGATTTCTCTTCTTTCTCTATCCCTGGCTAGTTGATACACCTGTAAATCATCATTATTTTGCACTTCAGTGTCTGTCTCAGCTTCTGTGTTCCTTTCTTGATTAAATTCTGAATAGCATTCCTGAAAGTCAAGAGAAGGTTGCCCCTTTAATGTATCCATCTCCAGCTGAATTTTCTCATCACCCTTTTGTTGTTCCTAACTTGAAACCTTCTCAAAGTGATACATTTTAGATTCTCTGAACACAACATCTCTACTAATTAATACTCTTGGCTGCCCCTTCTCCATGCACCACAATCTAAACCCTTTAACACCTTGAGGGTATCTCAGAAACATGCATTTCAGAGCCCTTGGATCCAACTTGCCTTGGTTGATATGAGCATAAGCAACACACCCAAATACTCTCAAGTTTTCAAGGTTTGGAGAATGACCAGACCATATTTCCTCTGGTGTCTTCATGCCAGTAAATGGACATCTATTTATCAAATAAGCTACTGTCATCACAGCTTCAGCCCATAACTGTGCAGAACAATTTGCATTAGACAGTAAACACCTAACCCTCTCCATGACTGTTCTGTTCATTCTCTCAGCAAGCCCATTCTGCTGAGGGGTTCCTCTAACTGTCTTATGCCTAACAATACCATTCTCCTTACAATATTTATCAAATTCTTCAGAACAAAACTCCAGGCCATTATCAGTTCTAAACCTTTTGATCTTTCTACCAGTTTGAGTTTCAACTAAAACTTTCCATTCTTTAAATTTTTCAAAAGATTCACTCTTGTTCTTCAAAATGTAAAACCATACCTTTCTTGAAAAATCATCAATGATAGATTGAAAATATCTTGCTCCTTTGTGAGAAGGAACACTTGATGACCCCCACAAATCACTGTGAATGTAGTCAAGAGTACCTTTTGTATGATGAATAGCAATGGAAAATTTCAATCTCTTTGCCTTCCCAAAAATGCAATGTTCACAGAATTCTAATGCATCAATGTTGTCTTTACCCAACAGTCTCTGCTTGGTCAACTCCTTCAATCCCCCTTCACTGATATGACCAAGCCTATTATGCCAAAGACTTGCGTGAGACTGAACTTCCTCAGAAACTGCAGTGGCAGCAGTTCCAAACAGGGTACTTCCTTGAAGAAAATACAAACCATGATCTAACTTTCCCTTCATCAGTACCATAGAACCTTTTGTGATCTTCATAACTCCACCTTCAACCTTGCACACATATCCTTGTGTATCAAGCATGCCAAGAGAAATCAAATTTCTCTTTAGTTCCGGTACATGCCTCACCCCTTTCAAGATCCTTATGGCTCCATCAGCAAGTTTCAGTTTAATGGCACCAATTTCGATCACCTTACAGGCCTTGTTATTGCCCAACAAAACCCTTCCTTCATGGTTGTCATCATAGGAAATGAACCAGTCCTTGTTAGGACACATATGGAATGTGCATCTTGAATCAAGAACCCACTTTGATTTGCCCTTTTCTTCTGCAATGCACATGACTTCAGCACTTTCGTATCCCTCCGAAACTATATCAGCATCACTACAATTACCCTTTCGATCTCTAAGCTTCTTTTTCTTCTTGCTTTCTGGGCACTCCTTCTTCAAGTACTCCTCACTCCCACAGATGAAACACTTCCTCTTCTTCCCCTCTTTTGACTTTGATCTTAGACCCTTCTTAGTTTTAAAATCTTTCTTTTCTGACCTGTCTCTCGTATACAAACTTTTAGCATCTTGATCTCTTCCAACCTCAGACTTCCTCTTCAGTTCCTTTGAGAATAAGGCAGATTGGACCTCCTCTAATGACAACGTGTCTCTACCGTAAATGAGCGTGCCTACGAGAGTATCGAACTCACCAGGTAACGATCTCAGCAACAACAAGGCATGGTCTTCATCATCATCTTGATTTCAATATTATCTAGATCAAGAACGATCTTATTGAAGTCGTCTAAGTGATCTTCCATCCCCTTTCCTACTTGCATGTTGAATGTATACAATTTCTGCTTCAAATACAGCCTGTTCGTCAAAGAGTTGGTCATCTATAGGTTTTTCAATTTGAGCCAAATCACAGCAGCAGTCTTCTCCTTCGAGACTTCTCTTAGAACCTTGTCACCCAAAGAAAGAATCAAGGCACTATGGGCCTTATTAAGCATTTCCTTCTTCTCCTTATCAGATAATGTGACCATCAGTTTTGCTTCACCAAGCAGTGCTTCTTCAATTCCTTGTTGAACCAGAAGAGCTCTCATCTTCATCCTCCAAAGGGTGAAATCATTCTTGCATGTGAATTTCTCGATATCAAATTTCGCAGAACTCATCTTAACCTTCAGAATATCCGACCTTGCTCTTTATACCAATCTATTATAAAAAAAGATTCTGTAAAACTATATTGAACTCATCAAAGAATGATTAACACAGAGAAGACAATTATGGGAGTAAAATTATTCCTCATTGATTTATTACAAGCCTTATATAGGCATAACAGGATAATTATCCTCTAGTAACTCCCTAACAGCCATAAAGTCTCAAAGCCACTACTAACTGAGTGTTTAGCATGGAATTTGAGATTTGAGTAGTTTAACGTTTTTGTCCTACAATGATTACTTACTTTGTGGATTACGTTGGGTTGATTATTAACTATTTTCATTCTGTTCAGGATTTGTAAACAGACGCTAAGAGAAGGAAAATCACAAGCAGTAGACTACCTCCTTTTATTAGTTGCTGGTGCTATATTAGGAACACTTACTAAAGTAAATGACGAAACATTTGGGTCCCTCGGATATACCTACACTGTTATTGCTGTCTGTAAGTTTAAAAAATCCCTACTAAATTTTATTCTCCTTTTTCTTTTTCTTATAATAAACTTCTTTTCTTTCTTGGGTTGATTGAACTTCTAATTTAGATTCCTGTAAACATTTTGAATGGTTCTAATCATATTAAACTTTAGTTATAGTCCTTAAAAAGAAGTGAAAAATTGACTTACATTTTATTCAATTACGATTTTTATGTCTCTTCCATATGAAACATTTGCAGCTTTACTTTGCAAGATTGCAGCTCTCAGATCATTTTCTCTGGATAAATTACAATATTGGAGGGAGAGTGCATCTGGAATCAGCAATCTGGCACATTTTTTGGCCAAAGATTCAATTGATCTTTTCAATACAATCATCAAACCTGTAGTTTATCTGTCCATGTTCTATTTTTTTAGCAATCCAAGATCAAGCTTCGCGAGTAATTATGTGATTCTGCTCTGCCTTGTATACTGTGTAACTGGCATGGCTTATGCAATAGCAATTTATTTTGAGCCCGCTCCAGCACAATTGGTACAAATCATATAAACACATACACATTTTCAAATTGTTGATAATAAAACTGCACAAATGACTTCTCTTTTTGGGGTTTTTCTTATCACTTGTAGTGGTCAGTGCTTCTTCCAGTTGTTATGACTCTCATTGCAAACCAGAAAAAAGATACTGTCTTTATGAAGATCCTTATAAAGTTATGCTACCCAAATTGGGCTTTGGAGGCCTTTATCATCGCAAATGCTGAAAGGTCTGTTTTAATTAGAGAGTTTATATTTCCTTTCCTTATGGGAGTGTTGAATTTTTGAGTGAATGCTTTTATGAATATACATATGAAAACAAATGAAAGAACGTATAATCAAATAATTGATTTATGATATAATATTCAAATAATATTGTGTTAGATGTGTGAGCTTAGCCAATAGCATTCAATGATTAGGATAAGTAATATGCCCTTCATTTCCCTTGTGCTATCTATTAAATCATGTCCTAGAAGTTTTAAGACTGTACAAAAATCATTAATTAAGGAAAGATCTTAAAACCAAAATTTTCTTAGTTGGAGACATTGAATCGATAGGGACAATTGGTTACCATGCTACTCTTTAAAATGTGGAAAAATTAGTTCAGGTGTGAGCAACGACATCATTGTCTTTGCAGGAGTGCTCAGCATGTATTATTGGACTAAACTAGGGTTTAAAGATGAAATATGAAAGTTAATCTCCAATATTGTAAATCAAACATATCATAGAAGTAAAAATTTGATAGAAAGATACTTAGATATTAATGCTCCCATTAATTTAAGTCATGCATCAGAGTTGAATGTGGTTGCTAAGATTAATAAAACTAGACAACTATTGAGAATGCATCACATATGACAGAAACCTGTTTATTAACCTTGCTCTTTCTGACTATGCTTTTGGACCTTGCTTCATGTCTTTTTGGGTAATGCTATTCTTAACTAAGGATAAAACCACAACTAATTAATATCAATAAAAAATTAGACAAACTTGAAAACACATGTCCATTTTAGGGCACAAATGGTAGTTTCAACAAGTTACTATTCTCACCATATAACGTTTTTGTTATTCTATTTTTCTCAGGTATACTGGAGTTTGGTTGATAACTCGGTGTAGTTCACTAATGAACAATGGCTATAATGTTGATGATTGGCCTATTTGTTTGGTTGCCTTGTTTTTTTACGGTATAATTGCTCGAATTGTGGCCTTCTTTTGTTTAGTGATCACTCAGAAGAAGTGATTATGGGATAGGCTTGTGATTCTAATGTACAAATCAAAGATTTTAAGATGCCATTGCTAGTGTGTTATAGCAATTAGGGATAGTTTCCAACTTTTCAGGAGAACATGTGATGCAAGATTAGTCAAACATTTGGACTTAGCAGTAAGTTGTTCTTAGGTTATATGTTGTTGTAACAATACCTATTTTTGTGTAAGTAATTTTTTCTCTTAGTCCTTTGTACACATGGACAAATGGGAATTAGTTTGTGAAAAAATGTATAATAGCAAAAGATACATTGTCTTAAGCTCTTAAAACCAATTGCTCCTCAAATCTGATCTGTAACTAGTGTGCTTTATACATGTGTATGGGTGTCTTTTTTTTTTTTTTTTTTTTTTAAAATAATTTATATATAAACAAGTATATAATAAAATCACATCTAATGAATTTATAAAATTGTATATTGTAAATAAAACGAAGTTTGGAGAATCCTATGTTTTGTTTATTATGATTGTAATTGTCAAGGAGTTTTGTTTTGCTTAGTAAAATTGTTGATTAATTGATTGTAATTATTAAGAAATTTAGCTTGTAATAAACTAATTTATGTTTAATTGCTTAAGGAATTAAGATTTGGATAAATTATTAAATTGATGATAAATATGATACTTACAAAGATAAGTAATAATGAATGTTTGTATGAAGGGTGACTTTTTGAAATTCTACCAGCTCTAGCATATCATAATAAATCCGTATTTTTTTATTTGTATGTCAATTCTTCAACAACCAATTTAATTTCTCTTACTTTACTATCTTTTTATTTGGAAGTAAATCATAAATCTACGTTTGCAACTTTAATTTGATAAACAAGCATCTTTTTACTTTAATAATACATTAATATTTTGGGATTCGATGCGTGAACTTGAAAAAAATTAATCCAATTTATTATTTGTGAACTTAGTACACTTGCCAAAGTTCTTAATATTTTTCTCAACGTAAAAAAAAGTTCATATATTTAATAAAAACTTAAAGATCACAAAAAGATAAATAAAATACACTTGAATAATAAAATGGCTTTTCTTCCATTTAAAAATATAACATTGAAAAACTAGGTATCATATAAGCTACATGTTGTTTTAGTAAATGAAGAATGTAATTACGTAATTTTTATGCAATAAAATGTAACTCCTCAAGTACTCAAATTGGACTATTACAAAAAGGTGATTTTAATGATGATAATTATTGTGGAATATAAAATATATGATTAGAATTTAAATAATAATTATTGTTGAATGTCTTTTTAAAATTATTTTATAATTAATGTCATCAACAATGTCATTGACGATCTCAATGGAGTTCAAATATTATATAAGATCTTTTATCAATAAGGATTTATACTAGATATCTTTTTAACAAAAATGTATAATGTTAATACAAGTAAAAGGAAACTTATCTGTATTATTAGATAATGAAGAAGACGAGAAGAAAAAAAAATGTGATAGCGCAACAAAATGGCCATCAAAACAGTAACATAATATAAAGAGAATGAGAGAGAGAAACATGATGTTTTACGACATGGTGTTGCTATGACTTAGTAATGATGCTGAGGGAAGGGAGAGGGAGAGGTGAGAAGAATTTGAAGAGAGAATAGGTAACACAAGAGAGAAGGTGAGTGTTGGAACAAATTAAATTAGATATGCGATTATAATTTTAAAAATAATTATCTTTGTATATAAATATGAAAATGATTATTTTTAAATTATTGTGGAAAATATGACCTAAAGATGTTTATAAAATAGTTGTCATCATTTGTAGATATGATATGATGATGTTGATCTCTTTTGGCAAGCGTATTAATAGTCAACTGTAGTATAATGATTTTTTAAGTGAAAATATTGATCACACGAGGAACAAATTCAATTAAAACAAACAATTACCCTCAAACAATATATATACAAGGATATTCATTTGATTCATGATTGATAGTAATAATTTATACTAAATTTGCTTGAAAATAATATAATGATAGTAAATTGATTAGAAAAGATTTAAAGAGAAAAATTGGGATTGAATTTCATCTATCTCACTCGTCTGTAATCTGGATGAATATAAGCATATATCGTCTGAATTTACCAATATTGATGCAACACACAATAATTATTTATATTGATTCCTCATGTATAAAATTCATAAGACTCGATTATCAAGATATCGATTCCTCACATATCCAACAAACTGTCTAATATTATTTTCAAGTGTTAAAAGCAATTTATATACTAAAATCTATTCCTAGCATCACAGTATATCAAGTATTTTTGTTCAGATCAGATTTTTAGAAATACTTTTCAATCACGTCTAAAAATCACATTCACGAATTCATTGATCAAATAAAATCAAGCTTTAAGAGCAGAACAAAAATACCAATATTGAATATAAACAAAAAGCTATATATAAATATCACCAAATTACATCCGAGTTCAAATTAATTACATTCAATCCAAAGAGAAAAAATTAGCCACTCATGGTAGCCATTGACATCCTAAGAGAAGAAGAGAATCCTAAAGCTAAAATTGAAGAATAATTTTTCCAAAGCTTGTCAAAGTCGTTGCCTAGATTTTTTTTTCTTTTACGTTGTACTCACATTCTGAATCACAAAATATATATGTTGCACAAGTTCTCGCTTAAGTTAGTTGATTCTAGCTTAAGCGAGAAGGTACTTCATGGTGAAGAATGGTTCGCTTAAGATAAATTATTCTCGCTTAAGCGAGAATGACTTTCGAATTGATGACTCTCTAGACGAATCTCGCTCAAGTGAAATCATTTTCGCTTAGGCGAGAATAGCTTGCAAAATGATATTCCCTTGATTAACTCTCGCTTAAGTGAGACCATTCTAGCTTGAGCGAGCTGTGACAAGATTTCATGTTTTTTTTCTCTGTTTCTTCATTTCTTCTTCTTCTTCTTCTTTTAAGCTCTTTTCTCTTTTTATCTTAATTTACCTGAAACATATACAAAATGAGGATCAAATGGTTTCCTTTTAATTAAAAACTCGGAAACATATGATTACATTTCATCTTTCTTAGATTAGGGAAAATTGATACCAAATATACACAATTTGAAACAATATTGTCATAATTCCATATGAAAAATTTACTACTTTTTGGCACTTATCAACTTTCCCAAACCTAGTATCTTGCTTGCCCTCAAGCAAAATAATAAGATCCCAAACAACTTCTCAAAACTCAAACTTTGAAATTGGTTATTGAGAAATCATTTTCATAGTTCCTTCAAGACAACTTTTGCATTGTAAACTATAGATTCAAAATCAGAAGCAAATGGTGAATCCAATTGTCAAATAGAAGCAGGATAAAAGTGCAACCAATTTTTCAAGACAAGCAATTGTAAGAACCATTGATTCTCACCAAAGAAATTCTCTCTTAAATCTCATAGGTATGTGTTTATCTCATTTTTCACTGAAATTGAACAAATTGAAATTGTCTGTCATTTTCAATCAAACCACAAACACATAATTAGCATGGATCTTAAGGTCTTTTAAGGGATGTAGTGAGGTTGAGCTTCCAAGAATTATGGTTTTTCAGATAACAAAAGCACAACTTAAGAAAAGAGAGCCTAACTACAATTTAGACCCACTTCCATTTCTACTCTCAATTCATCACATCTCATACCTCAAAACATAATGTTCTTTATTTTTCATTCATAATTCACTCCCTCTTCTTCTTCTTTTTTCTTTTTTTTTTGAATAATATATACATTTCTATACAATACTAAGGAGTGAATAATAGTACAAAATATTTTGCCCCTTTCTTTCCTAAGTACAATTCCACCAACCAATTCCCATTTTACAATTGAATAAAATGTACCTATGCTCTCTATCTCTAAGTGTGTAAAGGGAAAGGATAATAATTTCAGTTAAGGTTAGGGTGCATAATTCAAACAATCAGGCTCAAATGGTCTATCATAAAAGGATGATTATTTCTAGGTTTCCTGTTTGACACTGAGTTATTTACATTCAACAAAAATGCTTTAATCATTTCCATACTTCTAGTGTAATGTTATCCGAATGAAAACTCAAGCAATATCAACTTGACAACAAACAGTGGAAACTCTCAAGTTGTTTATGGATTCACAAACTCATTGGGTTTCTGGTTTCTTTCCTTGGCATATTACTTGTTACAATTAATTATCTAGACCAATTATCCAACACTAGTATCCTAATCCCATTTAATTATGGATTCAACCAAAGTTTCCCTCTTTCTCCTCTGTGCTCAATTTACTCAGTTGTTCTAATTTAGGACACTTATTGAAACTTGATTTCTCTTTAACCAATTTCCTCAAGAAATATTTTCTAATGATTCCCAAAAAAATTTGTTGTCTATGTATTATGTGCAAAGTATTAAGCAAAAAGTAAAGTTAAATAGTTAATTCTAACTAATTAGAAAAGGTAGCAACATTCTAACAAAAATAACTAAAGCAGAATATTACTAAATACAAAAATTCTGTAGTACGAAAAAAAAAGAATAATAAAACCATATTTCATAGAGTTCTAGAGGGTGAAATAGTGTTGTGTATCAATCTCCCCTCATCACTCTGTCAAAATTAGTTTGAAACTCCTCCTCCTGAAGGTCCACTCGAACTGTCTCTTCCCCAGCAGCAAGGTCATCTCTATATGCAGCTCTTGACGATTCTTCACCTGTTATGAATCCAGCTGCAAAACTACTACCTGGATGTACAACTCCAAATGGTCCCATGCCTACTGTGAATCCAGTTGCAAAAATACTACTGCCAGGTCCACTCCCCCCTAGAAAAATTGGACTGTCCCCAAGCCACTGTAGATACGTCGAAGAATTCTGGTGGAGCTATGCCTGGATAAGGTCCTCGAACATTGTTATAGAAGTACTCATGAAGTTGGAGTTGTCCTCTATGAATAGAGACATTTTGTTGGTGGGAGTGCTCCATTTGCAACCTCAAATACCTCATTTTCTCAAGTAATTCATCATTTATGTTGACTTGAGGTTGTTGTGTAGGATATGTTTATTATTTTGCAGCTGCTAGTTGTTCTATCTATGGCCCTTCTGGTTGCACTAGTTCTGTTGAGTTGGTACAAAAGTGCTTAATAAATTTCTTGGTAATGGAGGGTTGAATCTTAAAAGTTAATTTAACCTCCACCCTTTGAGCTTGGTAAAGAGTTGTGATTAGAGTTGGAAACCCTAAGGCACCTTTGTTCTTCTCATTGTTTCTCTTAACTTCATATTGCACAAATTTGTGGATTTCCTTAGAGATAACGGTGACCACGTCAACGATGAAATTTTCCTTCATTATAAAATAGAGGAGATGGCATCTAGGCCCGTTGAAGTCAGACACATGGCCGATGGGAACTATATTTGCTAGTAAGAATGTCATCCAGACTTGGGCTAAGGTCTTCATATCCGCTCTACATATTCTGAGAGGATTGCTAGAGGGTTCTAGTTGATAGAACCTGTTGGGAATCCACATTTAACCTGAAATTTCTGTTTCATCGTAAGGTTCCTGACTTCTCCTTATTTTTATATAATCACAACTCTGCTCTTCTATTAATGGCAATGGATGACCTAAAAATTCACTAATTGTTGCTCTATCATATTTAATCCATCTGCCTCTAAGCTTGGATCGCTTGTCTCTAGGACCATCTAAGGGATAAGCATTAGCATAAAACACTCTGACGATCTCCAGATCAAACTTAGGTAGACGATCTCTAGTATCAGTGCTTTATCTCTTCATACCTCTCCTGCCTTTTGGTATCTCTCAATAAGTTTCTGTTTGGTCTTTCAGGAGAGTGACTAGTGGTTCTTCTCCTTTTCCCCTTGTTGGATTTAGTAGGGGGAAGCCTAGCAGTTGTCCTTATTCTTGCCATTTTTCGGGAAAAAAAAAAAAAAAAAAAAAAAAAATAATAATAATAATAATATATAAATATATAAATATATAAATATATAAATATATAAATATATAAATATATAAATATATAAATATATAAATATATAAATATATAAATATATAAATATACAAATATATAAATATACAAATATATAAATATATAAATATATAAATATATAAATATATAAATATATAAATATATAAATATATAAATATATAAATATATAAATATATAAATATATAAATATAAAAAAATATAAATATAAATAAATATAATTATATAAATATATAAATATATAAATATATAAATAAATAAATATATAAATATATAAATATATAAATATATAAATATATAAATATATAAATATATAAATATATAAATATATAAATATATAAATATATAAATATATAAATATATAAATATATAAATATATAAATATATAAATATATAAATATATAAATATATAAATATATAAATATATAAATATATAAATATATAAATATATAAATATATATATATATATAAATATATATATATATATATATATATATATATATATATATATATATATATATATAAATATATAAATATATAAATATATATAAATATATATAAATATATAAATATATAAATATATAAATATATAAATATATAAATATATAAATATATAAATATATAAATATATAAATATATAAAATATAAATATATAAATATATAAATATATAAATATATAAATATATAAATATATAAATATATAAAAATATATAAATATATAAATATATAAATATATAAATATATAAATATATAAATATAAAAAAATATAAATATAAAAAAATATAAATATATAAATATATAAATATATAAATATATAAATATATAAATATATAAATATATAAATATATAAATATATAAATATATAAATATATAAATATATAAATATATAAATATATAAATATATAAATATATAAATATATAAATATATAAATATATAAATATATAAATATATAAATATATAAATATATAAATATATAAAAATATATATAAATATATAAAAATATATATAAATATATATAAATATATATAAATATATATAAATATATATAAATATATAAAAATATATATAAATATATATAAATATATATAAATATATATAAATATATATAAATATATATAAATATATATAAATATATAAATATATAAATATATAAATATATAAATATATATAAATATATTTGTATATAAATATATTTGTATATAAATATATTTGTATATAAATATATTTGTATATAAATATATTTGTATATAAATATAATTTATTTGTAAATTATTATCGAAAAATTCTGGTAGCTTAGTGGTTGGAGTATCGACCTCTAACTCTAAGATCTTGGGTTCGAATCTTGCCAATGACAATTCTCTTAATCGATAATAATTGAAACCAATAAAATTGTAATAGGGAAAAATAATTAATAATAAATAATAAAAATATAAAGGGAAGGGGTATTCTATAAAATAAATAATCTATATAAGTAAAATATTTAATAAATAATAAAAATATTAACGACGGATTCCTGTCCGTCGGTAATTTCGTCAAACATTTAGCGACGGATATATCCGTCGGTAATTACCGACGGACTATTAAATTCGTCGGTAATATTTACCGACAACCAAATTTCTGACGGATTTTTGGCCGTCGAAAATCCGTCGGTAAATGAATATTACCGACGGATTTTTGTTATTTCCGACGGATTTTGACCGTCGGTAATATCAAAATTTCTTGTAGTGCTGGTGTGGGCTAGAAGCGATAAGAATCACTAAGTGGAGTTCTTGGTGAATTGTGTGTTGTGCCGTCTCTAGGGAAAATTGTTCTTCATCTCTTGTGTGACTCAAGAGAAGTGTTTTCGTTACTCTATCTTTTCTATTGTTATCTGTTTGTAAAAACTTGATTATAGTGACAGTGTTAATCCTCTGTTTGAGTGATTAGCAACTGGACGTAGGGTCTTTTGATCCGAACCAGTATAAATCTTCTGTGTAACATCTATCCTTATCCTATTTACATTTACATAGCATTTTAATCGGTAAAATTTGGGGAAAATTTTAAAAACCTAATTTTTGTTAAGAAACCAATTCACCCCCCCTCTTGGTTTTTGTCTGTTCACGCAAACATTCCACTGCGCGATTCTAACAACCAATGGGCTCATCGCCCTCACTACGGAAAATCGTACAATGTCACCCACTCCCTATGGATATTCCACTTGCCCCCGGGTATAGGGGGAATTGTTGTGTGCAAGGGTTTGTGTATAGTTTGTATTTCAAACAATTGCATAAAATAAATAAATAACAGTTATTAAAGCCAAGCAATTAAAATATGTTATAAAACAAGGAAGGGTAAAGGCGCAATTTTAAGTTTTATTTCTTAAAACTAGTCCATCACTAAAAGGGATCAACTCTCTAGCTTCCCCCAGTGGAGTCGCCATCTGTCGCCGCCGTCAAAAGAGGTGGTCAGAGCGATGCGATGGTTTCGTTCGACTCGCGTTTTTTAAAGAAATGGTACAACGCCTTTAGGTTGTCCGATAACGGGGCTGGACCTAAAGGCAAGGTTTTTGAAGGGTTCGAGGAGTCGCTACCAATGTTTTTACTAGAAATATTGGGAAAGGAAGAAAAAAAGAAGGCATTGGTTTAGAAAACAAACTTTGGCCATTACAACCAGAGTCGGGTAAGGGAGTTAGTTACGTGTAGGGAAGGTATTAGCTTCCCTACGACGCCCCTTTCTGGTTCCCTATGATGGACTGTTTATATGAAGAAATAATAACTATAAATTATGCTTTTACCCTTATTTATTTATTGCGAAAATTAAAATATTGACTACATGGCCCTAAATGATTAATGCACAACAATACTATATAAAAAAGCAGTAAAATAGGGAAGAGAGTATATAGGAACCTTCGAAGCAAGCTTTTATAGTGAATTCTTTGAAATATGGTGCTTTTTGGCAATCCCCCTGCTCTATAATGTTGATCGCTCTTCCTCGCAACACTACAGAACGCTCTCTAAGAATACTAAGAAACTCTAGAAATGCTTCAGAGGGGTCCTAGGAGAGTAATTTGAAGAAAGTGCAGAAGAGAAAGTGGAAGAATGTTGTGAAAAGAGTGAGGAAGTCCCCCCCCCCCTTTTATAGGAATTCGCACCTGCCAGGTCGGGACCGCCATCTCACCTGACAAGGTCGGGACTTCCGTCTCACCAAACGGGATGACGATCTCGCCTTCGACAAGTGGCGAGACGGTGGTCTCGCCAAACAAGAAAGTGGTCTCGCCATTAGTGAGTGGCGAGACGGCGGTCTCGCCCTTAGCCAACGGCAAGACAGCAGTCTCGCCAAACGAGACGACGGTCTCGACCCTTTATGTTAGAATCACGCAGCGGAATGTTCGTGTGGTCGGACAAAAACCAAGAGGGGGGTGAATTGGTTTCTTAAAAAAAATTAGGTTTTCAAAATTTTCCCCAAATTTTACCGATTAAAAAGCTGTGTAAACGTAAATAAGATAGAGATAGAGTCTTACACAGAAGATTTATACTGGTTCGGATCAAAAGACCCTACATCCAGTTGCTAATCACTCAAACAAAGGATTAACGCTGTCACTATAATCAAAGTTGTTACAAACAGATAACAATTGAAAATACAAAGTAAAGAAAACACCTCTCTTGAAATCCACAAGAGATGAAGAACAACTTTCCCCAGAGACGGCACAACACACAATCCACTAAGAACTCCACTTAGTGATTCTTATCGCTTCTAGCCCACAACAGGTTCCAAAAGCCCCTTTTTCCTCCAACAAATAGTTCTCTGACACTCACAACACTTAACTTTTGTTTGAAAAAGGTTGTTCTTTTTTTCTGAGTGCCATAGAGAAGCTTAAGTAGAGAAATTAGGGTTTGGGAATTGGGATTTTCGGAACTAGGAGTCTTGGGATTAGGGCTTTCGAAAATAGGGTTGATTTGAAGTTGAAAATCAAAATCTGACTAAAATAA